TAAGTATATATGAAAAGGGTATTTTGGCCATTTAAGTTTTAAATATTTTATAATTAAAATTAATAAAATAATGAAGGGTAAAGTGGACTTTTCACTTGATTTAAGGCTCTGTTTGGAGGGCAAATTTCACAAGGGGGTGTGTTTGTCCAAAAACAAGCCAACTTTCCTCTACCTGTTCTTTCCTCAAACTTCAGGGGGTGTCAATGTACTTTACCCTATAAAATAATATGAAAAATTATTTTTATTTACGAATACATATATAAAGTGTTGGTCACGTATCTAAAATGTGTCCAACATGATACCAAAAAGTGTCCAACCTCCTCCCTTCCCGTTGAAGTGTACGTGCGGCCAAAAAACTGTTCAAAACTTTCCATCCAAACTTCAAATATGCAAGTCGCCATTCTTCCCAATCTAGAATTCTCGTCAACCGATCTTGACCCATGGATCTCTTTCTTCTTTTCTTTCCCTCGAAATCCAACGCACATGGATCTCTTTCTTCTTTTTTTTCCCTCAAAATCCAACGCACGATCAAATCTTTTCCAAGTCTCAATCCAAAGGCTATTGAATTTTGCAATCGACCAATACAACCACTAACACTTCGTACAAAAATAAATTTCCACGCATTAATACAATATTTTAATCACGTATCAATGCAGAAAAAAATTAAGTTTTCCTTAAGGAGAATTACTTTCCAAAGCAATAGAGAGAACTGATTCTAGTAGCAATGTAATAAAGACACTAAAAGTAGCAGCAACATTTTTGTTTGTTTGTGAACACAGGTGATAAAAAGCTTACTACTATTCAAAAAATGAATATTAAAGTGATAAAATGTGAGCAAGTGTCATAACACTAAGAAGGTTAAAACTAAATTGGTTAAAACTATACGGTGGCCAAAAAAAAAAAAACCAGGTAATTAAACATTAAAACACATGAAAAGCCAACATGGACGACATCATCAGATCCTGCCAAGCTGATTTTGTGACGGCCCGTTGCTTTAATAAGTTGTGTAACTTAATGGGAAAATCCTGAAACACATTGGAGTAGAACTCCTCCTGGGCTTCCCGTTGCTGGTATAATGAACTAGACGGCAATCTGCAGAAAATATATTCAGCCAACAATTCTTCCTGCTAGTGAAATTTATAATATACTAGAATAAAGGTAAAGAAATTAATATAAGTAAAAATAGGCTTGCATAGAAATAGGAGCAGAAGTATGATTGTCAAGATGTGCAAGTCAAGAAATATTCAACCCCCCTCCTCCAAATTTCTTTCTATATCAAGATCAGGCTAATTACTCTCTCCTTCCATGAATTTAAAATACATTTTTAACTAAAAAAAACAGTTAAAAAAATAAAAATAAAAACTTCACTTTGTAGTCTGTTTTTATGTAGAAAAGGAGAAAGTGAAGTAATAGTACCCGATTTAAAAACCATCATCAGAAGATCCCTCAAAATCATCATCGGACAATTCTTCAATTCTGGGAACAATCTCATATCGCGTCAACTCCAATTGATCACAGCAGACTTGTGTATCATAACCTCTTTCGTCTATGGGAAAACTCTGGCCCATGGTCAGATGGGAAGCTATATACGCAATTCTTTTAGCTAGAATGTTTCCTTGGGGATATTGAAAAAGTACTCGTTTTTTGTTAAGGCTCGACAACATATCAAAAATTTTACTGCATAACAATAATTTTTATATCAGCATGATTGGAAACTGAAATCTAAATTTAAAGAATAAACTCACATTATACAAAAAGCTTACTAATAAAGTCCAATGTTTTCCGTTGGTAAATGCGCACGTCCACTTAGGACAATGCAAATTTGTTTGTGGTCGATCTCCAATACTATTTTTGTTGATTGCGATCTTTGAAGAATTTCTTCTATCCCATAATACACTCCAAGTAAGAATACTTCCTCTCTAGATGTCGCATGATGAAGTGGCTTATGGAGCAATTTCAACACCGTTCCCCAATGATCTCTTATTACTACTCCACAACCAGCTTCTTTGGTCCCACCAAGATTTTCCTTAAAAAACCCAGAAACATTTAACTTATACCAACCAATGGGTGGGGGTATCCAAAAACAGCTGATTACTTCGTGTTCTGATAAAGCCTCCGGACAACTCTCCAAAACATAAATTTGCTGCTTAAACAAATAATTATAAACCCTTTCTTCGTACATTCTAGGACTAGTGTAGATCCAGTACATGAAGTTTTCTATCGAGATACATCTGAACTTGGGAACCCCAGCTACAAACCAATCAGTGTTGCCCTTCTTGTACAACCCATAATTTTCTAACATTATGTGCTGCTTCTCGTCAAAAAAGAGACGTCGGAACCAACAAACATCCTATTGTTACAAGATCAAAAAATATATTTGTGAAAAAAATAATTTGAATTTTATAAAACTGTGAAGATATTTAACTTACAGTTAAATGGTCGAGGTGCGGAAACATTCCTTCCTTGATGTAAAAGGGACGCTCAGTAGGAAAAATGATTCCTAAGGATGAATAATATAAAAACATCATTAGAGGCAAAATATAGCAGCAAAAAGAAACGAATAGATAAAACACTTCAATCACATGAAGCCAAAATCTTTCTTGATTGTTTTTAAGTATCAGGTACAAAAATAGAAATGATAATAAAATCCCCCAAGAGAAGGAAGCTGGCTGCATGTCAACAGGCCCAGAGTTTCCCCACCACTCTAGCCTCACCCGTGCGACACCAAGGTGTTGTACCTCCTCACATAAGGCCCTGGTCAGCCTAACTCCCACACTCGCTCTTGCCAACACACTCCACTCGTGTTGTAGTGTCTCACGCTCTCTACTTAGCTTACACACTCACGCACACTTGGGCACCTTGGTTGGCAAGAGGAATACTTCTATTATTACTACTCAAGTTGTTGTAAGAGTATGTTGGTTACAAATGACCCTTGTTGCCTATTTATAGGCATACTCCCTACATTCTAGAACTCTCTACAAATAATATCTAGAACTCTACAAAACTCCCAACAATACTCCATACTTCTCTACACTAATCCGGAAGACTCTAGAACTCTATTATACTCGAGTCTTCTCATGCCATTCAGACGCCTCCTCAATGCTTGTGTCTCCTGCATCTTGTAACCTCCATGTAATTAGGCAGGGTGTGACATATAGCTAAATACAATGCAAAATTCCAAAATGAATTAGATCTTCGACACAATTTCAAGCTTGGAACAATATGCTTTCATTATGGACTTCTATCTTAATTTTTCAAAACTAACAACGAAACCAAAAGAGTATGGAATTGATTATCGGTAATATAAGCACTTTAAAGAGTTGTGTTATATTCTTTGTGTGATAGAAAGGGCATCTGTTCATAACAAGTCAGTATGGAGTGACTCGGATTCGAATGGATGTGGGTTTGTTGGGCTGTCTGAAAGGGATGGGATGGCCGGTGTTTTCTTTTTGGGTTATCAGAAAGGGATGGGATGGCCAGAGATTTGGATTTCTTGGGGAATGATGGGTTTCTTTTTGAATTCTCTTCATCAGTTCAGCCATCTTCGGTTGGTGAGAAGCTGGGTTGGATTTCCAAGCCTATTACGGGCAAGGTTGATGATTTGGCTGATTCTATGCTGGATGGAGACAGAATGGGGAGGTCACAGATGGACCCTTTGACTGGCGCTTCCGAAAGGATGGTAGCTTGGGGAAGAACCTTCGTTTTACCCTTAGTGATGATGCAGTTGCTCTGTTGGTACAGGAATTGATGAAATACATAACTCCACCTATTGATCATGATGTTGGTACACGGATACTCAGGTTGACGGATTGGAAGGTGGGGAGGGCAGTGTTGTTGATTGGATGTCGTGTGTGGGGGAGGAGGAGGAGATGGAGGATGGGGTAGGAGAGGTGTTGAGGGATAAACAGTGTAAGGTTTTGGATATGCTTGTGCAGGCTGAGGGACATCCAAATTTAGGGGTGGATGAGCCCTTGACTATGGTGAGACCGGAAAGTGTGGCGGAGTTAGACTGGATTGTGTTGATGAAGGAAAGGAGTGGGTGAATGATCATATTGATGTTGTTAGTGAACAGCTGGGGGTTTCAATGGTAATTGGAACTAAAGAAATATATGGGAGAAAATTCTTCTCTAATATTTTTATTATTATGATCTCTGGAATAAGTGAATTACAAGAATAAATAGGAGAGGAAACCTTCACAATTAGGTTAACCAACACCTTGATTCTAGGAAGTAAAACAGGAAAATAACTAACAGAAATCTTGAAGATTTGGATACTAATTATCCTCTTCTCTTTATTTGAAACTAACAGAATAAACTAACTAAAGGATTGCACTCCAAGATCTTATCTGATTGCATATCCGGAATTTCCACACTCCCCCACAAGTTGGGCAATATATATCAATCATTCCCAACTTGAAAAGGACTTCAAAGCGATCTCGGTTAAGAGCCTTGGTGAGGATGTCTGCGGTTTGAAGACTTGAAGGAGTATAGATCATCTTCATGACTCCCTGATTGATCTTTTCTTTGATGAAGTGCCAATCAATCTCAACATGTTTACTTCTGTCATAGTGAACTGGATTCTTAGCAATACTGATAGCAGCTTGGTTGTCACACAACATCTTTATTGGACTTTCAGTAGAGATTTTCAATTCTTCTAGGAGTCGTTTAAGCCACATTCCTTCCCATATTCCGTGTGTCATAGCCCTGAATTCGGCCTCAGCACTGCTTCAAGCAACTACAGACTGCTTCTTGCTTCTCCACGTAACAAGGCTTCCCCACACGTAGGAACAATAGCCTGAGTAAGATCTTCTATTAGTTAGGGATCCTGCCCAGTCGGCATCTGAGAAAATTTCTATGCTACGGTCTGTCCCCTTTTCGAAGGCTGGAGTCTTTTTGAGATATCTGAGAATCTTCTAAACTGCTTCAAGATGTTCATTAGTTGGATTGTTCATAAATTGACTGACCACACAGACAGGAAAACTAATATCTGGTCTTGTGTGAAACAGGTAAATGAGTTTTCCCACCAGTGTTTGGTACCTCCCTTTGTCAACCGAAGTAGAACTCTCCTTCATGTCAAGTTTGTTGGAAGGGTCCATAGGTGTTTTTGAGGGCTTACAAACGAGCATACCTGTTTCTTTGAGCAAATCAAGTGTATACTTCCGTTAACAGACATAAATACCTTTCCTGGATCGAGCCACTTCCATGCCAAGAAAATATCTCAATGTACTGAGATTAGGGACGGCAATTTGCCCCGCCCCCTCGGTTAACCGCCCCGTTTTTGGCTATTTTGGGGAACCGTTTAGCTTATTTGGGTAGGGATGGTTTGATGTAATGAAAACCCGCGCAGGTTCGGTGCGGAAGCGGGGGGATTTCGCCCCACCCCGCCCCGTTTAGATAGGTAAATTACTTTTTTGTTTTCCTAGTTGGGTACTCACACACACATGCCTCCACGGAGGCTCAAACCCTTGGCCTCTCTTTGAGAAGTAACTGACCTGTTGGTATAGGTAAATTACTTAAGTCTCTTCACTAGTAAATATATTTCGCATTAGTACCCTTACTTCATTAGTGTATATATAGAGACAGTTTGTATTGCAACAAAATTTGAAAATCTCAAACAAGTAGCTTGTGCGACCATTTAGAATGTTTTTAATGTTGAATTTTATGTCAAACTATTTATTGTCCATTCTTTTTTATGAATCTTTTCAATTATATACTTTTAGTTGATAAAAAAAATTAAATGGATGAGAATTTCTAGTCTTAAACAGGACGGGGCGGGTACCCGCAGGGGTAAAGATGTTAAACGGGGACGGGATGGAAAGTCCCCCCGTTTTTGCGGTTCAGGGCGGGGAGGGGTTGAAATTTTTAAACAGTTACGGGGGCAGGGGAGGGTACACCCGTCCCAGCCCGCCCCCATTGCCATCCCTAACCGAGATCCTTGATTTCAAACTCTTTGGCAAGAGTACTCTATAACTAATTTATCTCCTTTTCACGATCACCTGTTAAGATAATATCATCCATATAATTTTACCTTCAGGAGACTTCTTGATAAATAAGGTGTAATCTGACTAGCCTCAAGTGTATCTATGCTTCTTAACCGCTATGGTAAATCTCTCAAACCAGGCCTTGGTGACTGCTTAAGGCCATAAAGAGATTTCCTAAGTTTGCAAACATGGTTGATATTGCTTGGGTTCTTAAAATCAAGAGGGATCTCCATGTAGACTTCATCTTCCAAGTCTCCATTAAGGAATGCATTCTTGACGTCAAGTTGATGAAGAAGACCAATCCAAATTGACCGCTAAGGATAAAAGAACCCGGATTCTGTTTAACTTAGCAACCGGAGAAAATGTTTATTGATAATCAATCCCGTAGATTTAAGTGAATCCCTTGGCTACAAGTCTCGCCTTGTGTCGGTCAACACTTCCATATGCCTTTTACTTAACATTGAATATCCACTTGCATCCCACAAATTGTTTGTCTTTGGGAAGTTCTGTGAGTTCCCAAGTACCATTTTTCATAAGAGCCCGAATTTCTTCACTAACTGCTTCCTTCCATTCACAGTGCTTTAGAGCCTCTTGTATGCAGCTTTGAATGACTACGCTAGACATATTTGACGTAAAAGCGCAGTAACAGGGAGACAATCTCTCATATGTCACAAAGTTTGAGATCGGGTGCCGAGTGCATGACCTAACACCTTTCCTTCGAGCAATAAGAATATCAAGATCATTACTAGGATAAGAATCTGTGTTACATTGAGTAGAAGTGACTGGATTTGGAGCGGACGCTTGGTTCTGTTCAGGAAAAGTGAGTTGATCCACCTTCTTTGGAGCTGTCTACTTTCTTGAGTAAACAATCCCGTTAAATATTTTTTATTTTTCTTGTTGAGTCGGAATCTGAGGACCGTTTGGAGTGGGTTCGAAATGAACAGGTTTGGATGTTGACTCAAGTAGGATAGGCACAATTGGAGGTGTGGTGGTGTTACGCAGAGTAGGTGAACTTGAGGTGATGGAAGGCACGGAGATATCCGCACCTTGCCAAAACTGATATTCTTCTAGCACGATAGAATTCTCCCCTAACTATGAGTTTTGGAGTAGAAAGGTTGATTCTCAAAGAAAGTTACATCCTTGGTGATATAGAACTTCTGAGTAATGGGAGAGTAGCATTTGTAACCTTTTTGGTAAGAGGAGTATCCGAGGAATAGGCATTTTATGGCTTTGGGATCTAGTTTGCTCCTCTGATGAGGTGGTTTGTGGACAAATGCTGAGCAACCGAAGACTTTTAGTGGCAAGGATGAGATGAGCCTGGATTGTGGGTAGACTTGTGTGAGTACTTGACATGGAGTTTGGAATTTCAAGACTTTTGAAGGCATCCAATTAATGAGATAGGCAGCGGTAAGAGCAGATTCCCCCCCCCCCCCCCCCCCCCCCCAACACCCCCACAGAGAAATGTTTAGGGACATCACTTGTGAACATAACTGAACGAGCAACTTCTAGAAGGTGTCGGT